TCAAAAGTATGAATTTCTCAAGTACATTTTTCCATATTTTCATCGTAGGCTACAAAATAAAAAACAGTTCAAATGACAGAATCATTTTTGTGTTACAATAATGTTTGATCATAAAAGAAATGCCTAGCACATAAATATTAAAAATAAGCGTAAGTCACGCTTTTCTGTAATTTTCTCACTATTTTTACATTTCATTGTGCTGAGTAACAAATTATTTTGCATATCCTGAATGTGATCTCAGGTAGTTCTTAGCACTAAATATTCTAAAATTAATGTATTATGATTCATTCAATTTTTAGATTTATATAACTAACAGTTATAATTTGATTAACAGTTAATCAAATTATCGCTTTTGTTGTTACTACAAAAGCGATTTGATTTTTTTTGAAAATAACATTTCAAATTTTTGTAAAAGGTTTTGAAAAGCAATAATTTTTCTGTTTATTTTATTACTCAGAAAATTGTGATCAAAAAGTTATCAGATGACAAAATAATTGATTATTGTACTGATAAAAACGAGCATTTTTATTTCTTTTCACCTGTTTTTATACTTGAAAAGATTTTTCTACTTAAATTTTATTTGTATTTTTATGTTTTTATTACTTTAATTTATTTTCAGCCATTAGTTATAACAAGTATTTTTTTCTTCGACTTGACAGTATTAATTTTTTTATCAATAAAAAATTTTTGCAAAGATTTATCATATCTTTAGTACTGTTTGTGCTCGAAATCTACATCCCACAATAAAATTAATTATTTATACTTAGTTCATGGCAACAATGAAAATTCAAAATTCATTACAACGATATATGCAAATGCCAAAAAACAACTGTAGTAATTTTTGAGTCTTACATATTCTGAGTAAGTTTTCAAATAAATTAATATTTAATAATAAAAAACTTTTGAATATAAAAAATTATCAAAAAAACCAACTCAAACAAACGTTTATTATTAATATATCAATCAAGTTTTACCTTCACATTTTTATTTCTTTTTACACTTTGCAAACTTGTTGCTACTTGAAAGTATGAATTTATAATATGCAAAAGTAATACGTATCTTAGCTCGTGTTTAAGTGTTGTGATATCATAAAGCTTTTACACTAAATGAATAATTTTAGTTTTTTTCTTATTCAAAATCTTTATTATTTTTTAAAATTTGATTTTCAATTTATTGCTCACTCGACAATCCAAATCACTTTACAAACTTAGTAGAATTAAAAATATTCAGAAATTACAGTATTTTTAGGGTATATGTTTTGTACTTCAACAGTTTTTAATAAATTTTAATGCTTGATTTGTAGTTTCAGATTTGAAAGTTTTGAATTTTTAAATCTAAAATACTTAGCTTTGTCATGATGGAATTATTTAATAATTATTAAAAAGTTAGGGAATGATTTATTATTGATAAGTTTTTTGATAAATTTGAATAATACAAAAATACTATTTTATAATATTAAATTTTTAAAATTATAATTTTAGCAGCAAAAAGTAAAAAAAGTAAACTTTTACGTCTCTCTTCACTTTCACGAATGCTAAAGTAAACAAAAGTGTTGGTTAAATACTTTTTCACTGAAAAAATCACCAACTCTTCTTTATTTTCTATCAGAAATAAAAATTACAATTTATTCTTTGATTAATTTTGCAAATTTTCAATGCAATATTTAAAGAAATTAATCAACCAATCAATAGAATTTACATTTTAACAATTTTCTAAATTTATTACACAAATCTTTTTATTACATTATTGTAATTTAATTGTTATATTATTTATTTTAACGGTTATTTGAGAATACTCCCAAAGCGCAATTATCAATTTCAATTTTACTTAAATACATTTTATCAATTCAATTTAATTTGCAGTTTAATGTTTGATTTAAAAAATCTAAAAGTTGAAATGAAAATAAAATACTTCTGCTCCCAGTTTTTTACTTGATTAAAAAGTTTGTCAAACGTAATTTTCGCTGAATACAAATTCTTTTTTATTTTACTTTAATCATTGCATTACTTTCATTCCAATCTCTAAATTTTTATATTTTCAAAAAATTTTCCCTCCAATTCATGCAAAACTATAATTGATTCAGATCTAAATTTACAATTTTTGCATAAAAACCTCATTTTGCGATCAAAAATTTTTAAACTTTTTTATCAATTTTTAAAATTCTAGTTATTAATAATAAAATAAATAAACGTTGCGATTAAATTAATCTTTAAATTTCTGACCAAGCAAAAATTTATAATATGAACAAATCTAGTTTTTTAATGATTTATTTGTTGAAATTATTGAAGTTTAAAACGAAATCTTTGACCTTGCATCCATGTAACCTGAAATATTCAATTAAATTTTTATTCTGATGCGTTTGCCCTAGTATTCATTTTCATAATGTTCGTTTGATTTTGTTATTATTCATTTTGAATTTAAATTAATAGACTTAGTAATTAAAAGTTGTAATTAATTTTTATTCTTTATACTTTTGTATGTTTTAAGCTTATTTTCAAACAAATTTAATGTTAGTAATAATAAGTGAATAGACTGATCAAAAGTATTTTTATAATAAGTATTGCAACATTCATATTAGTTAACCAAATTTAAGAAATATTCAAAAACTTTTTATCGTTAAAACTTTACTATTTCTTGTTTATTAGTAGCTTATTTATACTGATAATTTTGCTCAATTTTGATCTATTTTAATAAGCATTGATGCATTTTCATTCAAAAATTATTGCAATTTAATTCAAAAATAAATAAGTTTGGTAAAATTATCAAAAATTTATTCTCAGTTTGTTTAGAAATAATTATTGAAAAATAAAACAAAAATAGTTCTAATCTAAAACTGTTTTTGTAAATCACCTTTGCAATAATTTTTCTGAAATGTTTGTTTGTATGACTTTTTGAATGTTTAAAAATTTTTTTGTTCACTAAAATCATGAAAAGTCAGTAAAATGTATGAATCAATTAATAAATTGTAAAAAAAATATACTCAAAAGTGAAAACTTAGATGTGTGATATTTGTTTAATACCACGCAGAAAAATAATTTTTATGACTTTAAAATTTGTGCAAAATGTGAAAAAATTTTGAATTGTTTTTATTTTTTCACCAAATTAATAAATGATCTTTTATTTTAAAATTATTAAAAATTGATAAAATAAATATTTTGCAAGCATAATAAATTAATCCAAAAAGTATAAAAGTGTGTCAAAAATTATTTTTGTATTTTTTGAATAAAAAAATGAATGCAACAAATTTATAGTCACTTTATTCCATTTTTTTCAAATATTCTTTTTAACATTATAATATTGCCACTTTTTGCCACAAATTTGTGCGTAAAACTAAAAAATTTGACCAGAACACAAAGTTTTAAATTAAAAAATAATGCAAGTACAAATTATAAATTCAAATATTACTTCTTATTTTACGAATTAAAGAAGCAAATATGTCATTTGAATTAATTTAAATTGTTGTGAGTACATACAATAGTCAAGTGAGTTATCAAAATGCATTGTTAAGTTGAAATATTCTTATGCATACATATTACGTGTATTTCACGCTACTTCACATTTTTCCAAGTGCCAAAATATAAAAGAGTAAGAAGTTTAAAAAAGGTTGTTATTAGTAAGTTACTGTGAAAAGTATTGAAATAAACAGCGATTTATTATTTTGACCTTTGACTTTTTCTATTTTGATTTAATTTAATAGTGATTTCGACAACAAAATTAAATTTATTGCAATAAACTTATACAAGTTTTATTTTTCCTTCGTGTTTCAATAAACATTCTAAAAAGTCGCAATGCAAAAGTATCAGAATTTTGCATGAAAACTCTTTTTTTTGATTGACATTCAGTCATTTTTGAATTAATTTTTGAATTATAAATTATAAATTTTTCATTGCCATCAAAATTCTACAAAAAAATTTTGGACTGATCACACAGTTATCATAAAAATAAATGACAACAATAATATTTACTTAAATTAGTGATAATAATAATTTAGAAAAAAAAAGTTAATTAAATTAATTAGCCACTATCATTATTTCTTAAAAAAGCATTTGAGCCAAAAAACACTTTCCTCGCACTTATTTATAAATTTTATGGTTACAAATGATTTTTCTTGCATTAATTTAACATATTTAAGACTTGTCACTTTTTCAAGTTTGGTCAATTATTATACATTTTGTGGTGTATTGAAATAAAATAAACGTGTAAGTTTTCAAAGGCAATTTATTAAATAATATTAATTAATATTATAAATAATTTTGCTCTAAATAATATAGCTATTTTCATGTATTTAATGCAACATTCTTTTGGTAATTTTTATATGATAATTAAGCAGCTATTAAGAATTAATTTATCCGTTTAAAAAATGACAGCAATAATATTACTCATAACAATAGTGGGTAGCGATAATTCGAAAAACAAAACAAAATCAGTGGCTTATTTTTATAATTGTATGAGATTATTCAAATGTACAAATGTAAAGATTATTCTTTTAATACTTTTTAGTATTTTTAAAAGTAACTTTTACTTTTTATTGATTGATATTTTTAAAAATAACACTTATAACAATAATAGTGATAATGGAATTGATTCAAGTGATAATAGTAATATTTCAGAGCAATTTGCATGGAAAATTGGTCAAAAGGATTGTGTTCAATGATATTATTGCATAATGTTGCAACGTCACAGTTTTATCGACTTAAATATTTTTGGTTGCGTTTCTAATTCACGTAAAAATACAATGGATAATACACGAGATGAAATGAAAGATTTACGCTCATTTACAGGCGTAAATACGCCATATCGGTTAATGGCTGTTTCTCCGAATGCCACAAAAATTCTTTTCAAGTAAAATTTTTAGTAATTAATTAAATTAAAATTTCATTATTTATTATTTAAATACTTTGTATTTTTGTACAAATACAACTTTTTATTCACTTACATAACTTTTTGTTACTTTACACATTCATCTCTTTTAACTTAACTTATTCCTAATTCTTTTATTTGTTTCTTTCACTTAATCCGAAATCGATTGATTGGTTGATTGATTGATTTAGTCGTTGACTTAATTAAAATCAGCGATTAATTAGTAACTATATCAAATTTTTTAATAACTAATTATTCAAATTTCATAAAGTTTTCTTTGAATAACCTTCAATTCTTTTTGTAATTTTTCTAGTATTTATTAAGTTTTATTTGCTCCATTTATTACTGTTTCTCCATTTATATGAGCAAATTAGCTTTGCTTTTAAATTCATTTCAATTTAATAATTAATAAATTAAAAAAATTTTTATCTAAAACTTACTACTGCTAAAATTATTAAGCAACAACGGCAACAAATTGCAGTGCATTTTTATTCAAAAAAAGAAGTAAAAAAAGTAATCAAAAACTTTTTATTACTTTGTCTGCATTGTTTTTGGAGTAAGCATTCTGTAATTTGTTAGCTTTTTCGATGAGTCAAACTTGTTTAACAATTTTATTGCACTCAACGATTTGCTCCTACAAAATGCAAAACAATTCTTCGCATAAATTTATTTACTATACAAATTATGTAAATATTTTACATTTGTATGCAAATAAAAAATCAAACGCTACAAAGTAAATGAGAATAAAAGTTTTTTTTTCAATAGCTCTATGCTATTTTTTTAGTAGTTTTATTGAATGACAAAATTTACATTTTTGCTAAAACCGTTTTCAAAAATCAAAAATTTTGATTTTTTGAAATTTCTATTATAATTTTGATTGAAAATTGATCAAAAATAAGATTCTTACAGTTGTAAAATTTGCTTTTGAATGATTTAAAATTCACTTTTGTTTTCTTATAAAAGACAACTTTTAAAAGATTCAAAAAATGCTAAATTTTTTAAATTGTAAATTACTTTTTAGATTCAAAAAAATGCAAAACCAGAAAAATATGAATTAAATACATTTGCTTAATTTTGTTAAAAAGTAAGCATCAAATGCTTAAACGCACTGCTTACTGTACATCAGAGTACAGTTTTATCAAAAATCAAAATTTGTTGAAGAAAAGTTAAAAATTTTGCTTTAAAAAAGAATAGTTTCAGAAGTATTATTATAAAATTATCACGTATGCAAAGTATCAATACGTAAAGATACACTTAACTTGCTAATTTTTCAAAACAAAATTCATCATAAAATAAATCAAAAATGAAAAAATAGCTCAAAAATAATATTGCATAGTTTAAGAATATGAAAAACTTGTCATTACTAAATATTAAAATTTTTTATTCAAATTATTCATTTTCATAATTACTAAAACTTACTGTTATATAATTGAATAATTAAAACTTATCAAATGATAATATTAATTTTATCAAAAAGTTATGCGTCTGTTACATTTTTGCTCAATTAATTATTAAAATTGCAGAAAAAATAACAAACAGCTTTACTTGTTCTCCTTGGATAACGAAATGAATAGCAATGATTATTCCATTACTGGAATGGACTCAAGTCATGAAACTGATACGGTTCAATTTAATAACATAATTAATAAAATATACTAATTGCAATTGTGTAATTAAATTAAAATTTTAATTTTTTCTTGTGCAATAACATAGCATCAACAACAATTTTGTAAATCAATATATAATTATTGATTAATTATTATTTTAGAATATATATACTCATTATATATTCATTATTTTAATTAATTATTTATTATTTGAGAATTTAACTAAGTGTATGCTGTTAGTATTAATTACACGTATTATTAAAAACTGATGCATTTACTCAAATAATGATGGATATTTCAGATATTTGATGTAGCATTTTTAAATGATGATACGATTTGTTTGGTACTACAAAATCGTGAAGGTAAATTATACATCACAAAAGGTGTACTCAATTTAGCATCAAAATTGGTCATTATTTGTGGTGCAATTACTTTCACGCAAATTATTTGCAAGTAAGTTTTTCAATAAAATATAATGACGTCAAATGCGTCAAATTTGTAGCAGAAAGTGATTTTAATGAAAAAAAAAAGAATTGGCGTTGAAGAAAGCATTTTTAGAACAGTTAGCTCAAGCGGAAGTTAGCTTAATACATACAGAAATGATGATATTAAGTGATATATGTAATCTTGTAGAAAGCATCATACGACTACCGTAATATACGATGAAACTGGTGCAGTACTCATATCATATCCATTATCATTTCAAAGCAAAAATAATAACGATCCACCAAAAATATCACTTTTGCATTTATCGCATTTTTACACTGGCGAACGTGTACGTACTGTAATTATTGAACCGTTCGTCAAGGATAAAAAAGGTTTTGTTGAAGTAATTCTCATGACTATTTTATTTTTACTTCTTGATTTTGCTTAAAATTGTTGCAAAAAAAATTAATTTTTGACTCAGTTTGTTATCTTCTCCGTAGGCCTTACAGTTTTGAATTATTTATAATACAGAACTTGTTAAATTTTTTCAAATTTCTGTAATTTAAGTTTATTATATAATTTATGATAATTTTTGTAAGTTCTAATATGTTAAAAGTATTTAAATCTCTAAGATTATTTAACTTATCGCAAATTTTGTTGCGATTAATAAGTTTTTATTTGAGCAATTTGAAGCAATGAATGAAAATACATTGTAAATCCTCAGCTTAGCTTTTTAGCTTTGTTTTGCGATCCATTCATTTATCAAAATTGCGTATATTTATTCAATCGATTTGAAAGTACATTACTAAGTGTTGCAATTACCGGAAAAAGCCGCGGTACAGCTCAAGTCCGAGGTATAAATCCCGATGCTCGCTTTCAAAAACCAAATAGTCGCTATGCTAATCGATGTTTGTTATTACTCGGCAATACTGTATTAGTTTATTGCCATCAGCGACTGGATAAGCCTGAGCAAGAACCTCAACTTTGGATCCTAAATATGAAGTATATTTATTTTATAATTCTTTTTTTGTAATCAGAAGATCAAAATTAATGTTATATATTCAAATATGCATTATTGATTAAAAAGAATATACTTTTTAAACTGACTTCTTTTCGTTTACAAATACATTGTCAAGTAACTTTAAGTCTATTACTTTTTGTAAGCTGAACAATTTACATAAGTCTGTTCCAGCATTCAAAGTATATTTTAGAAAAATGTCTTGGCGTCGATTACACTTAATCTTAAACCATCACTATCCGGTGGTTTTGGTAAATTTTCAAAAAGCTCTCAGTACAAATTTAGCATTTTTACACGGTGAATGTGGACGAAGTAAATGTCAAGAAAAAGTTCATTTGTATCAGCTAAGTACAATTCAAGACTGTATGAACGTACGTGCTTCTTTTTTTAAATATACTTACTAATAATCAATTGTATAAAAAATAGAAAATTGATTAATTAAAATTTTATTGAATTTTACTCGTTTAAATTAAAATATGCTAATTGATCTCTGCATAATTTTTTTATTATCTCATTCCTAATAATTTTGCTAAAAGTTTTTTGGTTTCATATTAAAATTACTTACAGTACCAATTAAAGTATTACTTTTAAAGCTTGTTTACAAATAAAAATGCAGTATGAAAATTGCAAACTGACTTACTAAAAAGTTAATCTTTGAAAGTTTGATAAAATTAAGCCTTAATAAATCAAATTTTTAGTCTAATTATCATTTAATTTAATTATTTAAGCAAATTACTACATCAAATCGTACAAGTTTGATTGATCGAAAAATTTGTGAGCAATCAAAAGAGCGATCATCAAGTAATGTTGTACTGCATCGTTCAACTATTTATTCAACAAATAACAATGATACGATAAAAAAAATTGCGCCAACAATTAGTGGTCTCATTGATTCAGCAAATATCACTTCTTCCATTGCACCATCACTCCGTTACATCAGAAAATTTAATCGCTATAAAGTAAGTAAATTAATTATGCATAATTTATCTAATTTGAATAATTAATCTTTATAATGAATTCCTGCAATACTATGTAAAGCTTTTTTTTTTGATAATAACTTTTTATTGGCCTGTTTACTTGACAATATTTGATGAACTTTGTATCGTAATTACTGATAACTCCAGCATTTTCAGTTATCAATCATTAGAAAGTTTAAATCAGTTAAATAAATTAAAGTTTTGCAACGTTTTACTTAAATTTGCAAAAAAGATTATTTTATAAATGTCAAAGTTATTCTAATTTGTGTTCTAAAAATAAAAATTATTTATTTTGATCATTTTTAAGTATAAATTTAATAAGTTTATTTGTGAAGATGACAAAAATATGAATTATTTTCAATTTAACAACAAAGTGATAATTTGATTGAGATAAAAGTTGGCTTTTAATTATATTTTATGGTTTTATTTATTGTAATTTAGTTTTTAAAAATTCTTGTCAAAAAGGCTTTTAAGTCTTACCACTCATTTGATAAAAATTTGAGACTATTTTTGAAAATAAAAATTTTTTTAGTAACTGTAAGTTAAAACTTTATCATATATATATTTTTGTAATAATTACTGAAATTCAAAGTTATCTTTAAATAATCTATTTTAAAGCAATTAATGACTATTTGATTGTGGATAATTTTCAAAACTTCAACTGTTTGAGTCTTAAGATTCAGTCTACAGCAGAAGTTTTATCCAATTTTATGTGATTTCAATTTGAACTTTGATCAGAACTGATCAACATTTACATATTACAGACTAAAAATGCTTAATTGAACTTTGATCAAAACTGATCAAACATTTACATATTACTAATCGTTACTTTATATTTGTTCAAGTCGAGGCTTTTCTCTTTTAGTAATTCTTGTACGGGAGAAAAAGCAATTTTATAATGATTATAAGATTTTGCAGTGTTTTAAAAAATTTTTAAACAATTTTTACGCCATAAAAGTAACAAAATTTATGAAAAAGCTTTGTACACTAAATTAAAATTATTATTCAAATACTTTCAAATTCCTATTTATTTTAATTTCAAACCGAATTATAAAAAAGACACGATAAAATTGTGTTAAATAATTGAATCTAACAACATTTTTTTGATTAAAAATTTAAAATTTCTTCCACACTTATCAACTAAATTCTTTCAAACAAAATTTATCACTAAATTTGTAAAGAGTGCCACAAGAAAAAAAAAACAAAAACTTCATTAATTTAAAAAACTTAATATAAAATTTTAACTTTACTTAATTTTTA